GTACCTCGTCTTACCGTTACCTTACTTACGTTCGTTACGTTTACTTACTACGTACTATACTACTACTACCTACGTACTTACTTTAACTTACTACTCTCTCTCTCTCTCTCTCTCTCTCTCTTCTTCTCTACGAGAACGAATACTCGTCTCTCTCTCTAGAGATAATACTCCTCCTCTCTCTCTCTCTCTCTCTCTCTCTCTCTCTAATGAAAATGGAGAGGGTAAATGTGGTCAGGGACAAAGTTCACCACCCTCCACGCAAATCTGGACTCACTACCCGCTATCTCCGTCAAAGCCTGCAATTTTGGTATTTTTTTTAAGATTGTTTCAGATTAGAGGAAGATAACGTATACTATGTTCCCGCGCGAGTCAATGTGCATCTACTCCCAAAGGAGAAAAGCATGCTGAAAGAACTCGTAGAAAGTTTAATAAAATAAAAGAGCAATTTAAAGGAATATTATTTCAGAAAATTTATCAAAATGCAATATTTAATATTCAAAACCCTGATTAAAAATACATATGATTATGAGTTGGAATGGTTAAAAATGAATAGATCGTTAAATATGATATGTTAGGTGCTTCTAGATAAATTTCCCCATTGCGGCATGCATCTTATTTATTTATTATTTAAAATTTACAAATATGTAAGTTTGAGGGGAGATGGCTTACGATATTAGTTTTAATTATTTTGTATTTTTTTATTTGTTTATTGGAAAATTTATAGAAAAATGCCCTTATATTTTAGGAATTTGAAGATAGACCTATGCATTTTATATTTCAAAAATTTATCAAATTGTATCTAAAAGATGTACTATTTAAAATTGTACCTATTTCTTTTTATTTAATTTTGAAATATCTATCAAAATATGCATGATAAAAAAGAGTTGGAAAAGATGAAAATGGGTAAAATGTCAACTAGGTGATAATTTGGGTATATGTTTAAAAAAAAAAATTCCTCATATTTTATGCTAAGTATTACTTTTTGGGAGCGTATAATATACTTCAAGTTTTATTTTTCTATATATATGATTAAGCTAGAATTTGGGTTGCATATACTTTTCACACATTTGAAAAAAAAAAAAATGAAATAAATCATTTGAAATAAATACCCATGAATCTTGTAGGGCTATGGTTATTTATATTATTGAAACATTTTTCTATTATCTTATAGGTGCGTAAGTATAGACACTCCAAATTTGAATTTAATCTAATACATAGAAAAACCTAAAAATAAAATACTATGCGTTCTAAAATAGTGAGCTAATATAGAAAGATGTGGTTTGTATAGAGCCGAGGCTCTAACCAATCAAAGTAAAGCGCACCTTCAAATAGCGTTGAGAAATTTTGTGGTATCAATACTGAAAATCTTTGTGATAACCTTAAAATATATTTTTATCTTTAATTATAAAATTTAAAGCTTAAAAAACAGTGTAGATCGAGCATATCTATGGAAACTTAAAAATCTTGAAAGTTGACAATCCAAAAATACATTGTAAGATGCACTATTTCCCAAACTTGAAATCCATTTTCTTTCTCATGTCCATGCATCTCGATGTCGAGATAATCAAATTGAGGATATTTGGGTATTAAAACAACATCTTCTTGTGAAAATTTTGAAGTGGGATCTATTTTGATTGTTTAGAGCCTCGGCTCTATATAAACTTTTGTCTTTAGACCATCTATTTTTAAGATTTTTATATATTTATAGATCTAAATGATTGTAATTATTATTTTTGTTTAAAATTTTATACTTAGATATGAAAAATAGATATTCAAATAATCCTAAAAACTTTTTACACCAAAATTACGTGTTATGATGCAATTTGGAGGTGCGCCTTAAATTGTTTAAGGTTGAATCCTTATACAAACCACACCCACTATCAATAATTAAAAATAAAAAAAATAGAGCTAGAAAAAAATATTCCACTACTAATCGGGTCGACTGTGGACTCGATGAGGTCAGGCTCTAGACCCATATTTAGATTTTGGACTTGATAGGTCCCTTTGACCTTGACCCAATCCAAGTTGGGTCTGGGTCCGGGTTTAGGAGTGTGTATGTTACCAAGTTCAGCTTAGATCTTGTCATATAGGGTCGGGATTTGAGTCGGGGTCAACCCGACCTAGATTATATTATTAAAATATAATTATTATTTTTTGTTTTTTTAGTTAAGAGATTGCCTATTAATAAACCATTTATCTTTTGCGCATGGAAGTTATAATCACTTTCACTCATTAAATATTGAATTGGATGGCTTGGGATGAGTCACGAGGTATGAATTTTTTTTTTTTTGATATTTATATCTATTTAATGGCACAACTACAATATCTTTCAAAGTTGCCATTGACGAGTACTCAAAATGAAGCCGCAGTTATCCTGAAAAATGTTTACCATAGTTTGATGAGTTTGGCTACTCAGTAAGTGATCATCATAATCCTAAAAATAATCATGGTTGAAAGATATCAATATTTTCCAAAAGGAGATATATTAACAGAAATGCATCAACAGTTTCACTTTCAATAAATACATAATTAAGTATAATCCGAATAATTGAAATGCATATAACACTTTAACGGTAGTGCATAATTCAAAGGATTTTACAAAATACCCTACTGGCGTCCCAAGTAGGTCACCTATATACCCCATCAGCGTCCTGATGGGTCCACTTAATCCCTACCGGCGTCCCAGATAGGTCCACTTAATCCCTGCATGTCCACTTATACCTCACCGGCATACCGGATGAGTCCACTTAATCCTTACCGGCGTCCCGGATAGGTCCACTTATACCTCACCGGCGAACCGGATGAGTCCACTTGCATACTTAAATTATTTCTAAATCTCTTTAAACATTCGAAAGTAGCAATATCATGTACTCAACATATCACTGAAATCATTAATATGAATTTCACTTAAACCATTAATAACAGTCACTCTCTATAACATTTCAAAAATAACCAATCAAATATTTTGGGCTCAAATTTAGAAAGGTAGCAGTTTGTAAAGGCATTCTAGCATAATTGCCAATTTAATATGTATAGAAAAACTCTTATAAAAATTCAAGAATACGGAATTATCACAATTTAGGGGATATCAATCCACAAATAAACATTTCACAACAATACTATAATCAATTGCAAAAATGTCAATTTTTTTTTTTTATAATAAGGCAGTCATTTGCACATGAATTTTACAATGTCTAAATATTCAAAACAGTAGAAGGAAATATCACAATTTTTTTACTAAAAGCAGAAATATCACATTTATTTCTAACAATAAACAAGAAAAATAAATAAATTTATTTTTCTAATTTACAGCATTCAAAATTTCTAACATAGATAAAATATCACAATTTTTATCAAAAAGATTATTTTTCAAAATAATGAGGTCACGTGCGCATAAAATGTATCGCGCCTAAAATTCATGATAATAAGCAGAAATAATTATTTCATTTTATTTTTAAAAAGAATGGATTATTTTTCGAGACAATGAGGTCACTTACACACAAATCTGATAAAATAAAGATCCTAGATGGAAATATCACTATTTATTAAAAATAGACTATTTTTCAGAAAGACGATGTCACTTACCTAAAATATTTGAAAGGGAGCTTCCGATAAAAATTCGGCTAGGAAGAGGAGCTCACTGTGTTTTGACCAAAAAGGGAAAGATTTCAAAAGTTTTCTAGGGTGGGAGTCCACGCCTCTCGTATTTAAACTCTTACTACACCTTATTATAATATTTTATTAAGTGACACCTCATAAATGAGGTGTAACCGTTACAATACCCCTTATATGCTTAAAGCCCACATCCACTTGACGTGGCAAGGCAGGAGCAAACAAAAGAAACTTAACCAAAAGATTTTGAAAACAGTGATGGTCCCTAAAGACCATCATGCTCATATAAATCATCACTTATTAAGAGTTTTTTTCTTTCTTTTTATTTTTATTTTTTATATGAGATTACATGTTTTTAAATTTAAGTCTTAAAATCCATCTCAAAAATAGATTTATTAAAAGGCCCGCATTACGACACATGCGGGCTTGGCCACATAGAAACTGGGTCCATATTTACAAGACCAAATAACATAATCAAGTTGGAGAATGATTAATAGGGATGAAAGATAAATGGTTAGAGAGAGAAATCACATGGTACATGGCCATTAGAGAGAAATTGCAGCAATACATAACCATTAAAGAGAAATCATAGGTACATAGTCATTAGAGAAATAGAGGTTTAGAGAGAGACAGGAATCGGCTGCAAAATTAGAGAGAGATTAACATGTAATAGGAGAGGAGAAAGAGCCCTCAATGGGGTGAGTTGAGAGAGTGAGAGATATGATAAGGGATTGAAAAGAGAAAAAACATAATAAAAAAAGGTTTTTAGAACATAGTGAATTGAGAGGTGAAGATATAATGGGGTTACAAGGGAAAACATGGTTAAAATTGTTTTTGGGTTGAGATGGTATAAAATGATTTGTTGGGACTAACTTTTATGGTCAAAAGTGAATAAACAAGGGAGATAATAAAATGAGGGGATACGGTGAAATCCTTAGTGGTTTTTTTATTCTGCTTAAAAGAAAAACGGAAGGGATATATACTATGAAATAAGATAAGGAATTAGGGTTTCGTACGAAATTTTCTCTTTATAATATAAGGTTGCAACTTTATACAAATTGTTTTGCTTTAAATAGAAGCTAAAAAGGAAAAAGTAGAAAAATTGAGCATTAATAAAAAAAAGGGAAAATTATAAATACCCCCCAAATTCGACTTTCTAAATATCTTACCCTCCAAAACTGTTTGTATACCACCCTAAACTCTAATACTCTTTTCTCTTATATTTACCCACTTAATTCAAAAGTCAATAATTCAGAACAAAAAT